CTTGCTTGAAAGCCAGTCGAATCCGACTCTAGGGTTGCGGTGCTCATCTCCGTTTCAAAACCAAAGAGCCAGCACTGTCCGAAGACATTTCCGTGGTCATGTGGCCGGCATGACTAAACACCAAGGTGCACGGAACGCTGTTACCTTCCCACTGAAGTGGTACCTATTTATCTACTTGCAATTTCTTGCTTTCGAACTGCTAGGTTGGCAGGAGCTGGAACTAGAGACGGGAGCTCACTCCGTCATGCGGCACCCGGGTCTCGAACTGCTGAACTACCGACCTTCCATAGCCTGCAGTTCAGCGTCTTAACCACTTGAGCTACCGCAGCTCATTGCATAGACAGGGATCCAAAAGTCCTGGTGCCCAGTTGTCATTAAGGATCTGTGTTTTATTTATTTCTTAAATTTGGACTTCTGAATGGCAAGGACTTTGGGTTCTGTGATGGATTTCGTGACTTGGAAATGAGCAAACCAATCTTTAGCTTGCAAGACTGGAACCTTGGCCTAGACCATCAGCAATTCAAAACCCGTTACTAATTTGCATTGCAATTATAAAACAAATCCCATCTTTCCCCCCTGACTAGTACCGGTTGTTGAAGTTTTATGCAAGACCAGGGTGGAATTAAACTTATTGTCTCCTTCTAAATGATGTTTTCCCTTCCCTCTGGCTGTTTCCTGAGCACAAACAATAGTAAATGGAGATAAAGACATGTGTATGAACAATGAAAGGCAGGCTGCTAAATTAGCAGTAAGAAAAGCACACATAATGTATTCCACCCTCATCAGGGCCCTGGCACGAAACAGATCAGATAGTTTAAAGTTGTCACTTGACAAAATACCCTCTCAAGCAATTCACAATTTTCTATTAAAAACTCTGGAATCGCCTTTGGGTAAAATGCATTCATGAGTCAATTTTACCTTTTGGAGATTTCCCACCCCCCACCCCCGATTGTGATAAATAGTAAGCTTTCATTCAATTGTTGCTGCAGAAAAACTGAGAACAGCAAGCTGGGCCTCTGGAAACCCCCCCCCCATTCCCTCTCTAGAATTCTATAAGTTCATAGGAGTTTGGGCCAGTCAGTTCCCGTCTCCCTCTTTTAAACTGATTCTCAGCTGCTTTCAACATTCTGTGCCTCCTACAGCATGCTCAATCCTTATCATGCCTTCCCCCCATTTTTTCTGGGTTAATTCACAAAGTCACATTCCTCTCTATAGGAGGGACTCTGTTGAGCATGTGGGACCCCTGTCTTGTCTGTGGTTGATCCAGGTTTTCTGCTATAGTGGTGATGATTTGTAGTGCCTTGTTAATGGTCCCACAAACTGCTGTCCAAGGTGCTGAACACAGACATGTCTACGGTTGCATTTGGGATTATTCAATAGCAAAAAAACAACAACCCCCCATGATCTATTGCAGTGTAGATATTGTTAATATTTGCATTAGAAAGCACACATATCATTTTGACTTAGACAGCCTCAATTTTGCAGTGGTCACTGGCTGATACCTTTCATTTGGATTCTTCCCGATGGACTAACACAGCTGCCTATAATTTTGTCTGCTTAGGAGACGTATACAACTTAGCTTTCCAGAAGAGATGGCCTAAAATTGAAGGAACACAGCTATTGACCACCGCAGAGTGGGACTTTGTCTACTGGGGGACTCAACGTATCCTCCAACCGCTAGGCAACACTCTCTGATTTGACTTCTTTTGCCCATGAACCCACAGGAAATCCAGAAGTACTTTAGAGCGTTGATGTTAATCGTCTTTTAAATTTAATATTTTTAAACCCAAAAGGAAAAGATCAGCCATAAGTATCATCTGTTTAAAAATGTATGTTGCTACAGTTCTTGTTGCTAAATCTTGAAAAAGATACTGCAAGTAATAGTTTATTGCGCTCAAAGACCATAATGCAGCAAATACAGTTAATATAGTATTACTTGCAGTATCTTTTTCAAGATCTAGCAACAAGATCAAGCAACAAAATTGGAAAAAGTGCAGAAGAGAGCAACCAACATAATTAAAGTGTCGGAAAACCTTTCCTATGAGGGAAGGCAAAAGAGTCTGGGGCTCTTTAGTTTAGAAAAAGACAATTCAGGTGGGGGGAACACATGACAGAGAGATAGAAAATTATGCACGGGGTGGAGAAAGTGGATCCAGAAAACTTTTTCTCCCTCTCCCACATAACTAGAACATGGGAGCACCCAATCAAGATGATGGACAATAGGTACAGGACAGACAAAAGTAATTACATTGCGGAATTCACTGCCAGTAGGTGTAGAGATTGTCACTAACGTAGATTTTTTAAAAAGGGGAATAGAGAGATTCATGGAGGAGAAGTCTATCAATGACTACTAGCCAGGACAACTAAAGGAAACCTCCAAATCCAGAGTAGTAAACTCCCCCTGGATTATTAGAGCTAGCGGGCAATATCAGAGCCACTATGCCCAGTTTGTTGGCTCCCCAGGACAACTGGTAGACCACCACGTGAAATAGGATGCTGGACCAAATGACCACATGTCTGATCCTGCAGGACTCTTCTTTGGTTCTTAACAGTGCCATCACCACCACCACCACCACCTTAACTGGTTGTTTTAATTGCATTTCCACCTAACAAATGCCTTCCGCAATTTCACATTCTGAGTCACTTCCCGCAAAGCACATGAGCAGCAACCAGTGGGGAGAAAGTTGTTTTTCTAAGAAGACACTGCAAGACCTGGCAGAACAAAATCCTCTCCATCATTTCCTTTCCTCTGGTCGTTAAGCGAATGTAGGATATTAAGTTAGGCATTAACGACCCAGAAGAGTGAAGGTGACTTGTATGTAATTCACTTCCTATTCATTCTGCCATTAGTCAGGTGTAGGGGATGTGCTGCCAAGTACTTCTTCACCTGAAGGTCTTTCCCTTCATCTGTGAAAGAGCCCAGGCTCTCATTCTCGGGCTATACTGGAGACTGAGGGACAGGGAAAACTATCCATTCTTTGAGACTTTCAACCATAATTGCATTCTCAGACCCACCCTCTAGGAGAGAGGCAAACGCACTGTCTTTTATCAGTGTCAAGTTAGCACAATGAACGGTTAACCCTGGAGAAGTCAGTTTTGCAGAGGCACCATGAGAATGTACGATGAGAGTACAATTTGTCTTGCTGGATCAAAACAAGATCTGTAATAGTCTAGTATTCTGTTCCTGGCAGAGGTCAGTCCAACAGCCCCCCCCCCCGGGAACTCAGGAAGCAACTCATGAAGATGTTATTTTGCACCCCGTTCTTTGTCCCTAGCAACTAGCAGTTGGAGGTATACTGCCTCTGTACATGGAGGTTCCACTAATTTATTACAAATGGCAACTGAAGTTAAATTACAAGAAGACTTTGTGCGCATCTGAGCTGTCTCCATTCCTCAGTCCTTCGCCTCCCCCCCCCCTTCCAGCCCTTGCTTCTTGCTATAGCCTCAGGTCAAAAGGGGCGGGGGGAGTCAGTCATCAGCCACACCCTCCTACTTCCACTGACTCCTGCCCTGCCCTGCCTGGAGTGGTCCAACTGGAGCCTCCTCATCAGCCCATCCCCTGGCCATTTTAAAGACAACATGGCCACCCGCACATGCCCTCTTTGGTTCTTCAAATCCTTGCAAAAAGTCGGGTTCTTTCTGAGTTGCTGCGGTTGCTTACTAATGTTCCCCAATGAATAAGAAATGACTGAACGAGCAGATACGGGACCACAATGCAGTTTGGCAGCCCAAAATATGCATTATCAAGACCTCTTAGTGGGAGCAGGAAACACCCAGCTTGCTCAAATGAAAGGCACATCCCCACTCTTCTCAGGCTTGTACAGAGACTTCAGGTTTCTATGGCCTTCTACACATCAGCTCTTGGCAAATGGGATTCCTCACCCATTACAGGAATTCACGAGCTCAGCACAGCTAAGGAATGGCCTCTATGTTTTTTTTCTTGAGTAGATCTGAATTCTACATCCTTATATTTTATCTCACACTTTCTGCCTTTTGTGGGCGCTGGGACCTGCTGATTCGTCTATTGTTTTCCCACCGCACTTCTTACATAAAATGAATGGTGCATCTGAAGAAGGGTATGTGCACATGAAAGCTTAGACATTGAATACAACTCTGTGGTCTTAAAGGTGCCACTGGACTCAAACTTTGTTCCACTGGGGTTCATGTAACTTTAAAGGTGCCACAAGACTCTTGTTCATTTTTGGTGCAAGAGACCGGCGACGCAACCCTATGAGGAGTTGCACCTTTCTAAGCCCACTGAGGTTCAATGAGCTGAGAAGGGTATTAACTTTGCTTGGGACTGCACTGTTAGTCCTGTCTACCCTAAAATGGCCCATGTGGTATAGTGATTAAGAGTCCTGGACCAGGACTGAGGAGACCCAGGTTTTAAGTCTTCCCCCAGTTCATGGGGCCCTTAGGCTGAACCTTCTCTCGCAGTCTAACCTACCTCACAGGGTTGTTGTTGTGAGGATAAAATGGAGGGAAGAAGAACTCCATCCGCCACTCTGAGCTCCTCGGAAAAAGAGTGGGATATAACTGTAACCAACAAGTAACACCAGCGCTCTAGGATCTCAAGCAGAAAAAGCTCCCTCCCAACCACCTGCTAAGTAAACCATGCTTGCTTTAATTCTTTACTTCCTTTATACCTCGCCTTTCTCCCCTTCTCCATTCTATATTCACAACAACCCTGTGAGGTAGCTTAGTCTGAAAGTGTGTGCCTAGAGGTTGCCCAGCGAAGTCTCCATGCCAGAGCAGAGATTTGAATCTGGGTCTCTCAGGTCCTAGTTCGACACTCTAACAGCTACACACACTGGCTTCAGAGGTTACCCCACAGAGCCAATTTTAACCAGCCCCACTGGCACACAAGTCCCTACTGACATGAACTGCAGTTAAAGCGCAAGGGCTTCAGGAGCACAAGCCAAGCCGTTCAGGGACACACATCCTTCCTGGCCCGCTTAGCGGGCAAGACTACTGCAAAAGACGCTGAAAGGGTCACTCACTTGAACATGTTATCTGGATGGACATGTAGCCCGCGCCACAGTCCTTCTTGTAGTGGCAAGGCAGCCAGTTGAAATGGCAACGCCCGTCGCCACACTGCAGCTCTTCTTTCTTACAAGGCAAGATGCTTTGCTGATCTGGGGGGGGGGGAAGAGAGAGAGGGGAGAAAGAGAGAGAGAGAGAAGGAGAAATGAAACAATCTGAAAAGCACAAGAAAACTTCAGGGCTGAGCAGAAAAGAACAGCTGTCTGAAGCCGGGTACAGGAGACGTGCATCTCAGTCGCTCCGTGCCAGTCTGTTTTGGTTCGCACTTCAGTGTTTATCATTTGAGGCCTTTGTGTCAGTTTCATAGCCCCATGCGCTTAGGTGTAATTGTTCGACATCTGCAATTCTCCACGCAGCTGCTCCAGAGGAACAATGTCAGCACCCTCCACCGGTGCACTGCTAAATACCACCCGCCGCAAGCAGTGCGCTGGTTCAGGAGGTGCCGGTGCGGTGCACAGAACTGGAAGACTGGGGGGGCTTGGTCTTGTGCAGACTCATAACGAGATAATTTCGTTTGCGTGCTTTCAGCACTTCGTGGATAATGTTTCCCCCAGTAACCGGATGTTTAGTGACGGGTAAATTAAAGTTAGAGTTTGGAGAACAAAGACTGTCTCCTTCCTCCACTGGCTCAGAATGTTCGCCTCTGCTAGCAGGTCAAATTGTTTTATAAGGGTATCTAAAAGTAAAGACAGACGTTGGAAGACAATGGAATGGAAGCCGCTGCCAATGACTTAGATGTCTTTAAGAGAGACATTTTAATCTATTTATTTTATTAGACTTTCCCCCCCCAACCCTCCCCCAGAATGGGGTTCAGGATGGCTAACCGCGTAACACTACAATAACAAGAACACAACCATGATATCAGTAAAATCCAGTTAAAACACAACACATAGCTTTTGGCATAAAAATAAACAGCACGGAAGGTAGAATCTACCAAAATTACATTAGTGAAATGCCTGGTGGAATAACTGTCTTATATGTCCTGTGGAATGTAGACAAGTCCCACAGGGCATGAGGTTCCTCAGACAAAGCATTCCACCAGGTTGGGGCCACCTTAGAGGCTAAGGTAGGTAAATGGAGTCTCCATGCTTAGGGACAGTATATCTTTGAATGCCACTTGCTGAACAGCAGCAGTTGGGGAAGAGTCTCTATGCTTTCCTAGCGAACTTCCTGGAAGAATCTGGCCGGACACTATTGGACAGAGGCTAGTGATACAGCAAAACCTCCGGTTTGATCGAGCTATGCTTTTCTTAAGCATCTTATGTCTTGCAAAACGAGTCCCCAAAGGAGTCAGGAAGTCATAAATCAAGACCAGCGCCAGGAGGACGGCGCCTGCAGACAACAGAAAAACAACTCGCTACAAAGGGTGCCTGGTAGGTTAGTCACCCTCCCTCTTGTATGTGGCCCTAGGTTAGGACTTGTACTGATTAAATATGTGAACCGCTCAGAGCCCTCAGGGGGTGAGCAGTATACAAATGGAAGGATAAATAAAATAAATAAAATTAACCCATAACACAATTGAGCACCCGTGTGTCCTATTGCTCAGAACCTGCAGTGTTCTCACGGTGCAGGGGGGAAAAAAACCCCAACTCACAAAGTTTCCTTGCCTTCATCCAATGTTTACGCATCCCAGGGGACCAAGCAAAAGATTGCTTACACTAATAAAACCAAATCTACTCTAGAATACGTGACACATAGACACATGACGCTGCCATATACTGAATCAGACCCTTGGTCCATCAAGGTCAGTATTGTCTACTCAGACTCTCCAAGGTCTCAGGCGGAGGTCTTCCACATCACCTACTTCCAGATCCTTTAAACTGGTGATGCTGGGGATTGAACCTGGAACCTTCTGCATGCAAGAGCATCTTCCCCTATAGTAACAGCAGCAGCCATATCATTATAAGTGCATCTGTGCTGGAGTGCATCTTTTACTGGACCGGAAGTAATACACATTACTTTTTAAAAGTTCTACTCTCACCGTTTAATATTTGATTTATTTATTTTTACTGAAATGGCCAAAAGATCATTTAAAAGCGAGCTAATTTTTTTAAAAAAGAAAACAACACAGTTGAGAAAAATTCCAAAACCATACAGGGCTTGCATCTGTGTTTGTGTGAGACTGTGAAGAGATGTATGTTACGAGAAACCAAGTTGACTGTGTAATCCTAAGAAGGGGTATCCTATTGTAAGCCCATTGACTTCAATTAACTTAAAAAGGCATAAGCGTCTTTAGGACTACACTGTAAAGACACAAATACGTATTCCAGTATAGCCCTGACCTGTCTGGCCTAGGCTAGCCTGATCTCATCAGATTTTGGAAGCTCTGCAGGGTCATTTCTGGTCAGTACTTGGCTGAGAGACCTCCAAGGAAGTCCGGGGTTGCTACACAGAGGCAGGCAATGGCAAACCACCTCTGTTCATTCCTTGCCTTGAAAACCCTACGGGGGTCACCATAAGTTAGCCGAAACTTGACCATGCTTTCCACATCCCAAAACGATGCAAAACAGCAACATTTAAACCAATAACGTGCTCATAATCCAAACTCGCCAAAACTGTTCCCAAACAGTTTTCACCAGATGCTTGAAAGATATTAAAGGCAGCACCAAGCAAAGATCTTTTTGTGGTTTAGAGAACTGATATGGGAATTCAGAGAACTGATACGGGAAAGGGTCTTCTCTCTGCTACAACAAACCAACCTCAGTTCCCAGAGTCGGGTCTCCCCTCCAAGAAGCAGGCTCTTGTGGGAATTATGATGGGAAGACAGCTGTCTACTAGAACAGCAGCTTTCAACAGCAGGGGAAGCAACAGAGCGAAGGGGAGGATGACATGTAAGTGAGGACAGACGGGAGGAAGAGAGAGATGGGGAGATGGAGGGAAGAGAACGACAAAGAGGACAGAGGGGAGGGATGGGGAGATGGAGGGAAGAGAACGACAATGAACAAGAGACCGGTAGAGCAGGAGAGACTGATGCAGGACAACCCTGAGCAAATAGTTAAACGTACTTACGCTTCCTTTCAACTGGGAATAAAGACTAATGGGCTAAGCTACAGATGACCCAAAAAGGGCAAGTTGAGAGGAGGGCGGCCCACCGCTTTGATCCATTTTCTGAAAGAAAGACTGGAAACATGCCCCACCCTGGCACCACATGTCAACAAATGCTGCATTCTGCATTAGACAGCTCCGTGCTCATTGCAAACCCTAAAAAACCCTGGTTTCCTCGGCCCCCCTCCCTTCCCGCCTCTCCCTTCGCTGCCCGTCATCTCGCACAAACCGGCACCCCTTCCCCTTAATGAGAAATCAGAACGGTGTTGGGCTCCGTGCAGAGCCGCAGCCAAGCAATATATTTCCACACTGAGTCGCCTGACTGACATTTTAAGACACCTCTGAGCAGAACGGCACCGCGGTTCAATATGGAACAGCGCGAACGCTCGGGCCCTTTAGGAATCCATGCAGACTGGAAGCACAAGGAGGCTCATAAAAAAATGTTCTCTGCCAAGGACATGGCACTCTGGAGGGCTACATCATTTTGGTTCTCGGCAAGGCACTCCCCGGGATGGATCCTGCTCTTCAAAAGCAAGCTGTTATTGGCGCACTTTAGGCTGGTTGCAGACACCAGAAGGATTCTTTGTGTTTTCTGGAATCTTCTTATAAATGAGCATGTAGAACTGACTCTACTGAATCAGACCATGGGCCTAACGGATTCATAGTAAAGGTTCCCTTGCTCGAAAGCCAGTCAAGTCCGACTCTAGGGTTGCGGAGCTCATCTCCGTTACAAAGCCGAAGAGCCAGCACTGTCCAAAGACGTTTCCGTGGTCATGTGGCCGGCATGACTAAACACCAAGGCGCACGGAACGCTGTTCCCTTCCCACCGAAGTGGTACCTATTTATCTACTTGCAATTTCTTGCTTTCGAACTGCTAGGTTGGCAGGAGCTGGAACTAGAGATGGGAGCTCACTCCATCATGCGGGGTCTCGAACTGCTGAACTACTGACTTTCCACAGCCTGCAGTTCAGCATCTTAACCACTTGAGCCACCGTGCAGTCCTAAGCAGAGTTATATCCTTCTAAGTCCTCTGAAGGCATTGGGCTTAGAAGAGCATGAACTCTGCTTAGGATGGCATTGCCTACTCTATGAGAGCCCATGGTTAGAATCCTGGACCAGGGCTGGGGAGACTGGCTCATCAAATTCACAAGGAGCCCTGGGGGCTGATCATTCTCTCTCCATCTAACCTGTTTCACAGGGTTGTTGTGAGGATAAAGTGGAGGGAGGGAGGAAAAGCCACATTTTCCACTCTTGGGAGCAAGAATGGGATGCAAATGTGATAAATCTACATAAGTAACAACAGATCTCCAAGATCTCGGGCAGAAAAAGGTCTTCCCAACTGCTGTGGTCCTAGAACTAGAACAGGTCAGGATTGAACTTGGGACCTTGTAACTGGAAAACAGCTGCTCTGCCGCCAACACACAGGCCCTCTTGGCAACTGCTTCTGTATGAGCAAGGAGACACAACAGCCAGGAGCTCCACACATGAATTGCAAACACATCTGGGATCTCCCACATACTTTTTAGCATTGCAAGTATTCCCACAAACCAAGGCCCATTAGGTATATTACTGGGAGACCTGAGGCACCACCAAGCAGTATCTCCCTACTAACACGTACAGCCAGCGTGGTCTAGAGGTTAAAGAGGTGGAATCAGATCTCAGAGTTCTGGATTCAAATCCCCAGTCATCCCTGAAGTTCAAAGGATAACTCTGGGACAGTCACCTTCTCGGCCTAGCCTACTTCGCAGGCCCTTCCCTGACGATAATTCCAGAGGGGCAACCACTTTGATCTGCTGCAGCCAAAAATAATCAGGCATCCAGGTTCACTTAAAGATTAAGTGTAGCCAGCATAAATGTGTGGGGACTACAGTTCAGAGGCAAAGGGGGCTCTACTGTACGGAGCTCATGTGAAGGCCCGGGAAAAACCCATTCCCCCT